AAAAGGGATCCTTAATATTACACCATGCCTTGGTGAGACACATGAAATATTTCTTCCTTTCCTTAGTGTTTTATGCCTTACACAGCAGGGAAAAGATTAACACAGAGATTAATGTAGTAGAATATCACTTTTTACTCAACGACTCCACACTGCAGTCAGATGCCTGGGAACAGAAAACAAAGATACCAATACAGAGAAAAAGTATCTCCTAAACTGAGCCACCTGGCTAGACAAGCAGAAACAGACAAGAAATCAGAGAAGAAAGTAAAAGATATTTTCTTTTACTTTTTCTTAAGAGAAAAAATAATAGAATGATTGCACTGGATTATTTTGGTCAAAGGGATTGGCATTCATATTCTCCTCAAAGCAATTTTATTACCTCTGCATACAGGTTTCATAATAACCAGCAGAGGAGAAAGGAAAGGCACCATAAAGTTCCAGGTCTAAAATAGTCACAATCGGATAACATAAGGGCTCTTTCTATCACTTATAGATTCTGCTAAGGGGTGGAAGGAAAAAAGTAACAGACTTTAAAAAAAAAAAAATAAATAAAAATTGGAGATAGGTGCACTTAAAATTTCCAGCCACAAGCAGTCAAGTTCAGTTTTACTTTCAGCCTGCAATTATCTAAGACCTTATCTCATTTATATGGTAATAACTTGTCTCATGTCAACTCAACAAGCAGAGATAGCAGCTACGCAGCGCCAGCTCCTGGAACTCTCTGCCCGGCTGAAGCCTCCTGGCGTGGGCGGACGGACCCCGCTGGGTTCACAGCGCCCATTAGAATTGCCAATGAGCCGGGCTTCCAGAGCTGTGAGGAGCATACAAAGGCAGGGAATTTCTTGTCGCTATGCATTTAACGTAACTCTCTTTACTGTTGCGCACACTCGGCAGAAAACATTTTGAGAGATAATTATTTGCCCAGGGAAGAGGAGACTTTACTGCTGCAGTTCGGAGAGAGCTGTTCCTCAATAAGGAGCAGCAAAATTTCATGGCAAGGTTCAGAAATTATTTCAGGATGATTACTACAGCTGCAAAGCTGCATTTTCTCTAAAATTCTAATTAAATATAGATAAAGTGTGAAAAATAAGCCAAAACAGATCTGGACATTAGTGAGGGATAAAGGCTTTGGTCTTTTTCAATTTCAGAGGTAATTACTAAGGGACCTCTTATCCCCTCACCAAAGCAGAGGAGGTGCAGAGGGACCTCTGGATTCCAACTAGCCCTAAGGCTCTCAGATATAATAATTTGATGTTAGACAGAGAGCAAACTAGCAAACATCAAGACAGAACAATGATCTGGAATACAGGTAGCCCATACAGATAACAAACCTCACATCACTCTCCTTAATGAAAGTCCAGCTACTCTAACGAGCAATTTCCTCAAAGACATTGACTCTGGTTTTGCCTATAACCCATTATCCATTTTAAGAGGCAAGAGAATGTTTCAGTTCAACAGTAATTTCCTATCAAAAGCTAGTGAGGTGTGGTGATTGCGCTAGAACTCTGATCAGGGCACAGCGACTTCAGTCATCAAGTACATACTTCCAGCCCACGCTGAACAGAAAGGATTTGGTTTAAGATGGGGGGGTTCATTAAAGTATATCTTTAATGAAAACCAGGCAGCACATGGTTTGCAGGCATTACTTTCTAAAGGGGTTCTGTGCCACTCATTAGAGGGAAGAGTATTTTTTTTGGAGGTAATTTAAGAACAATAACACACCTATTGTTTTTTGGGGGAAAAAAAATCGGAAGGGAAGACCAGGCTCTGGCTTATGCCCCTGTGATATTATTACACATTACGATGCTTTTTTCTCTTCTAGATGATACAGGTGGATTTGTGAAGGATAAGGTCTCAGTTCACTCCCTCACTCTTTGGAGATTACAGGAAAGGGAAGCCTGCTCAGATCACACTGTTGATGGAGGACTGGGAGTCGGTGTTTTAGAAACACTGATTTAAATGCTTTGCATTCAGAACATTGAGTTTCACGTGGGATTTACTTACTGTATTTAAATACAACAAGCAATTTGTAGTGAAATACTATTATATATCTAGGATCACCAATGTATAACAAAGGATTTAACATCCATATGTTTGATGACCATGTTAGCCTTTTACACAGAGAATGTTGCACACAAATGCTTTAATCCCCACCACATCACAGTAAGCCCTGAGCCCCACAGTCCACAGTCTTTAAGATGCCACTTAAAGTTTCTGATCATCAGCAAAAGTTAGGTTTGCATCACTTCATCTCTAAAAGCATCTCTTTAGCCACAGGTGCTTCAAGTCTATGTTAAGAATGTAAAATTAATGTCAGCAGTTCAGAAAAGCTCTGAAAGAGATCTGGAAGTTTTCCTGTAAGTGCAGCTCTGTCCACCATCCCAGCAATAACAAAACCCATCTATATCCACCCCAGCAAAATCATAATACCCCCAATCTCAGTCATATCACGCACTCCTGGAAGTGCTAGATCATGGACTGCTGTGCTGGGACATAGGGAAGTAAATGTCAGGGCAGAGGGGATGGAAATACTTTTGTGAAGCATTGGTACTAAGATGCTAAAGACCAAAAGTCAGTTTTGGACAATCAGAGTCAACCTTGGGAGAAATATGTGAACAGTAGACAACAGAAATTGTTTTGCCTTACTTGATACAGTGCTGAGTTTATAGGCAGAGGTGAGGAGATTCAGTTTTTAACCCTAAACACACAGAATTCAGTCTCCTGCTGGATCAAGAGCCAAAGAAAGATTTTTCATAATGAGCAGTTGCAATCTATGCCAGCTTTTAAGGAGTAAAAATAAAACATAAAGAGGCATAAAACAGTTTATCAGTTGAGAACAACAGCATCAGAAATGAAGTTTCACTATTAATAAATCCTGCCTCCAGAGCTTTTCCAGAAAACTTAATAAATATTTCATTGTTTTTCATTCTGAGAAGTAATCCAAAAGAAGACTCTGAAAATCTTGAGGATGTGTGAAGGAACTGTTTGAAGTGTAAGCTCTTGAAATGCTAATAGCTATGAAGAAGCATTAGTGCCGTTTAGCTCTGATTGCATCGGCAGTGGAAGGTCTATGAGAGCGATTTAATAAGCAAGACATCCAGTGTAGTGCTATTAAATGCTTCTCAAGCATAATAGGGTAATATTCCAAAACCAATGCAACCATGACACTGTTGTCTTCAGCAGAAAGAGCACTGCCTCAGTGGAAATTCCCCCCCACATCCAACATGGATAAATTCAAACCTAAAATGTTACACACCATGTCCACACAAGGGAATCTCATGTCACAGAAAACATCTCACTACTGTTACCTTCAGCATAAAACAAAAAGCCACACACTCAGGGCTGAAAAAAAAAGCCAAGGCAAGCATTTTACAATCTGGAAAGTTAAAAAACAAAGAGGGCAAACCTCATTTGAAGTTGTAATGAGCAACTTAGTCTCTAAAGGCTTTAAATGAATATGCTCAAACGCACTGGTAAACATTTTAAATATGTATTCACAGTCCTGTTGGATTCTAATGCTCCTCTGATGATTAAACTGATTCTCCTCCTCAGTAAATAATTCAGTAGCAAAGAATAGCTTGGCCTGGAAAAGAGATGAACAATGGGTCAAGACTTTAGATAGTTGCCCTTTTCTGAGAGATTTTGGCCTCAATTTTGACATTGTGGGGAGAGTTTTCTGCAAAAGAGGAGGTCACAAAATAAATTTGAAGTGTTTGTATTCACAACTGCAGTTTAGTATCTGTATTTTCTGACCTTTATTCTGTTAGTGAAAGAAGAAAGAGCTGATGGCATGAAAAGAGAACCCAGAAACACCACTTATATAAGTTACTGCCACAGGAGAGTAATTTTCATATTCAAGGACAAAGTATGGTTTTGTTCTAGCTGTGGTCAGAGACATTCCTCTTGTGATACGGTATGCTGGTATTAGGTAGTTGGGAGTGCAAGATACCCAGGAACTTCTTCTAGAGTAGGGTCCAGAAAGCAAAATACTATTCTGTGCTTCTGAGTAGGGTTTTTTTGTTTATTTAATGTTAGCCCAAAGATGCATCTAAGTACCAAAGAGCAATATGATTAGGATTGAGACTAATGCTAATAAGGCAGTCCTAAAAAAATGGGCAAATCCACTATCCTCCCTGCTAGAAGCAAGTATTTTTAAACCAGAGACTTTAAAACAGGGTAAAACCTTTCCCAGGTTAATTCCATTAACTCTACGGGTCAGAACATGGTTTGTCCTAACACACCAGTAGGCCTGATCCAAAACCCATGAGAACCTTTTGGATCAGACCCTAATAAGGAACATAGATGACAGAAAAAATACAGTCATTCTTTATATTAAGAAAATGCAGGAATTGGAGCCACTCATGTTCTCAATATTACTTTTGTCAGATAGTTACACAGATCAAGGAAAGGCACCAGTGAGTCTGAAACAACAATCACAAGGTAGAAACCTCTTGGCATGCACGTGAGCCTTCCTCTCCAGGCAGCAAAAATTCCAACCCAACAAGCTTCTCTGAAAAATTGAGATATTCACAGGCATTTGCAAACTATAAGCACAAGATCCTGCAAAATACTAAAGCCACCCAGAGAGACCCACTGCTTAAATATGAACACATAGTCAAAAAGAGGATTGCTCTAACAGAAATGAGATGCCTAGAGGCATGTTAAAAGACTGGTAACTTTTAGCAGCTAGTTTGGAACTACACTTTAAATCTTCCCAAAAAAGGAAGCTTTGCGTACATCTAAAGCTGGGAGGAAACTAAAGACAAGATATCCTAGGGTCTCACCTCATTCATCTTATATTTTTATCAAGTTTAACAGGGTTTGTATCCAGCTTGTTTCTAGGCAACTTTAGGAAAAACCTTATTTCCATACAGTATTTTCCACAAATAACTCTTAAAAAAAAGCACAAATAAAAAATTTCTCTTTGTATTATTTCACAAAGAATCTTCCTCCTAAGTCAGAAAACTACATATATCCAAAACTAAATATATATAACTGACCTGTTTCGTTTAGAGCTTTCTCCATGAACAGTTTGCTTAGCTGCATGAACAAATCTTCATTGGTGACCCTTTTGACTGTAATCTTGGCACTAGAAACAAGGAGTGACACAACAAAATGCTTCAATCTGGAGGCATAATACTAGAGATTTAAAGTCTAAAACAGATCAATTCAAGAACTGTAAGTGTAAAACAAACTTTAGAAAAAAGTAAACAAAAGCAGCAATCACTAGACAGTACCTTCTAATGAAACAATTTAGCACAAAGAAAGACTGAGTGCAGTTACTCACAGCTGTTACATTTTGTAAATGGAGGCCATCACCAGTTAAATGCAAGGAGTATCAACCCCATCTAAACTACCCATCTGACTACTTCTGTCCCTAACCTTTCCCCTTTATCCCACCCCCACATCACAGCAGCAGCAAGGTGGTCACACCTCTCTCTTAGAGACTACAGTTTGGTCCCGACCAGAACTATCATATGCTGCCCTATTAATTGCATTTAAATGCACCTCTGGTCTCCCCTCACAGAGAACACAGTCACATAGCCAAGGCAGCCCAGTACAGCTGCCTTGAGCCTGCAGAAGGGCAGCACTTCACACCAGCTGAACCTTCATCCTGTCTCCTCTTTGGCAGCAGCAACCTCCTCTCATGTGCTGATCCTTGTGACTGCCAGGATGCCATGAAAGGGCACTTCTTTGGGCCCCAGTACCTCAGGTTGGGCTACTTTGCCTCTACTGAGTGCTGTTTTTGCAGCCAGCAGCTGTGAGAGAGCAGAACATGGACAGGTGGACAAAGGCAGAGGGGCAGAGAGGACAGCAACACAAACAGGGTGCCCCATGCTCAACCCTCAAAGTGGTTTCAAGCATTTTTCTTGCTTAACACTCTTATTAAATCACAGCTGTACAGCAACTCACACACTTTTTTTTTTTTTTTTTGCATTGCCTTATTGTTTGATTTTGTATTTTACTTAGACAGGCTGTGCCCCAAGAAACACTGACTTTTCAACTGCATCTTCCTTGTGTGTTGGTGAGTGGAGGACAGAATGATCTTTGGATATCACAAGCACACGTAATGATGTATTTTTATAAATGAACAGGCTCAAAAAGATTCTTCTATTTTTGAGGGGACAAGCATTTCTGTAAAATTTTTTGCTGGAACATCTTATACACAAATCCCATCAGGATACTGTATGCCAGAGCTCACATCAAAACAGAGGCATGGAGGGGCCTATGGAGCTGATCAGAGGAGCATTTTCCCATGACAGAAGGCTAGAAACTTGTTTTGCACAGTAAAACACAGACTGAAAGAGGAGAGAATTGCAGTCTGTAAGGTATCCAGGAACTAACCACCATGAGAGGAAAAGAACTATTTAATTTAATAGAGATATTTAGATAAAGATACTGTATGAAAACTAACCACAATCCCATCCATCCTGTAAACTAGAAGAAAGATTCCAGGTGTTAGGAGAATAAAGTTGGGGAACTCTCTTCCCAAAAGTCATATTTTACAAGGAGGAAAATGAGGCATAAAAAATTAATCCCTCTACTCAAGTTCATACATAGTTTGTGTCAGAGAGGAGAATCAGATACTGTAGAATTAAATATAGGTGAAGTGAGAAAAGAAAACCAATATGAGAAAATGAATTGGATTTTTATAATATTAATAAATTGATAATAATAAATAACAAGTAAATTGTCAGTGGTAAATCAGTACCACTAATCTTTGGAATGATTAAAAAAATATTTTCCTTTAAAGAAAATATTTATATTTCTGACACAGAGCATTACCTCAGGATGCTGTAGAATTAATCAAGATGTTTATAGGCAGTTTTTTTCTTCTTTTGCATGACAGAGAAAATAATTTATGGATAACTCAGTGTAATATGGTCTTCTGGGTTGTTGGTTTTTTTTTCTTTTAAGTTTTATTGTTGGAATCAATACAGTCACATCCTTAGGGAATAACATCCATGACCATAAAGTTCAGTTATAAGCAAAAAAGCTTTGACATGTCTCTTACTACTGAACTCCTTTTGATTTGGGACTATCACTTGAATGTAATCTACTTTTATCCCTCACACAGTGCTCGTCAATCGGCAGACCTGGATTTTTCTTTCTCAGTTCCAGAAGAGATCAATGAGGGTTTCTATTCCAGGATTCCCAAGGGTGTTTCCCTTCTCAGTTTCACTACCATGCCTATTTTACCTCAAGCCCTACACACTACTTGCTTCATCAGATTTCTCTAAATCCTAATTCCGATACCAAAATCCCACATTTGTTACTTCTTAGTTAATCTTCAGATGCTCCCTTTATGCAAACAGAGAGATGTATTTGCTATTCAGGAGCAAAGGTTTTTAAAAATGGTGTTTGTTTGGTTCCTCAGGTCCCCATTGCCCTTCCCCACTCTGGGAACAGGGACTGTGTTCCTGCTATAAACATGTTGCCACTGTCTCCAGGAGGGACATGATGATACAGGGTCATGCACTCTCCTCAGTGTTCCCTCATGCTCACAAGGATGTGCATTGCCTGTCTTGGGAACCTGGATTCCCAAACAATATTAAAAATGCAGTCCCAACCTTCTTTTCCCCTCGGCCTTACATGAGGCAGAATCTCTCACATTTTTCGGCAGCCCTACTTCATAAAATGTCACCATTCTTATCTTCTGAGTCACACTCAAGTTAGAAAGTTACCTCTAGTAAGAGTGACTGGGTCTGTGCTCTCATCTTGAACTCCTAAAACTGGAACCAGAGAGGGCATTCAATTAATCCAGTCAACAACGCACTGGACTATATTTGAAAGAGAAGCAGGAGGACACGCAGGCAGCTTTTACAGGAAAGGTTGGTCCTCAACGGCCACAACTACACTATTTACATTCCTGGCTTCTCTGTAGCCGTTACTGTTCTATAGCAATTTCTGTCACCAACATTTCCTGCCTTCCATGGGACTTGGTCTGAATTACACCGTGAATTACCACTTTTGCTCTTTCGTTCCAAACAACAAAATCCTTCATTTTCCCCTTTTCCAGCAAAATTGAAAGACCAGTTTCTCATATTCTGTCAGTGGGACTGGAACAGAAATTCCCCAACATAATACAGTCTTAAGGCAAGATGTGCAGGGATGAAGAGCTGAGGGCTATTTCTTTCTTCATAGTTGATGAGTTCTTCTGTCTCCCTGAGGAGACACGTGTTAAAACTTCTCTATCTCTCTACCTGTCTATCAAAGTGCTGCCATTAGCACCCAAATGCCCTGTCTCAGCAGCCGGTGAGAGCTCCAATGAGTTAATAACCACAGCAGCTTTGCAGAGAAGCACTTGAGAAGAAATACATCAGTGGAACTTAAAGGCTCAGACTTTTAGGAGGTATTTAATTGGCATGAGCCATGGAAATATTCCAGCATGATTTCACAGCACTCCCCTGCATCACTGTAAACCTACATAGTTTGCATACATTTCTGCCTAAATATCTTCAGAAGGCTGGAGCAGAAATACTTAAGTATGTCTTGCTCTAAGTTCTTAGGTGATTTGGGGCACTTCTCTGATACAACAATGCTGAACTTGGACTTTCAAAATCAACATGTGGCGCTGTCAGAGGATCTTTGCATACTGCATAGCTTGGTCCCAGCACACGGCAGAAGCTACTGGGAATTTCTTAGGGCCCCCCCATGCAGGAGCTGGAGCATCTTCTAGAGAGACAGACTGCACTGGGAGGTACAGGACTCGTATGTGTATGTGATGGCAGGAGGGACAGGAGAAGAATCTTGCTGAGGCAAAGAAGTGAGGGAGGGCCCCTTACCCTCTGCTGGCCCCTGGGCCCTGCCTGTTGTGAAGGCACCAGCGTGTTGTTCTCACAAGTGCATTGTGCATGTGTGGAGGCAAATTTCACATCACTGCTCCCAAAACCTGGTGTCATGCTGGTGCAGCACCACAGAGGTAGAGCTCTGCTGCTCGGCTTGAGCCGAGAATTAAATGCTGTGCTGGGAGCTGCCACTGGGCACACTGAGCTGTCACTCTTCAGAAGGCTTGGTTGTGTAAGTGAACCAAGGGAATCGCTAAACCACAGACAATGAAAACAACTTTAAATGAGAGGCTAAATGAAAAGAAAAAAGTTGTCAAAATGTCAAGGTTAATGTTTGCATAAAACTAACCTGGGAATGGTTAGATGGTATGAGTGTAAACCTTAATCAAAACTTTTAAAGTGTGAATACAAAACTAACTTCAGTCTAGACAGTCAATAAATCTATTCTCTTTAATGAAATACTGGTCCTTTTGGTATTTCCGGTCAATCTTCATCCTCATCCTTGCGACTATGTGTAATATTGATACTCAGATTCCTGTCTGTCAAAACCAGAGGAGCCATGTGGAGCAGGACCACAGCCTCCCACATGGCTCCTGCTCTGTGTCCTCCTGCACCGCTGGCTGGACCAGCGGCTCTGTCCCCAGCCTGGCTACAGCTCTAGGATGAGCAGCAGCCTCTGGACAGGGAGTGGTAAGTCTCTGTCCCCACCCCTTCACTGGACCAGGACAGTTTCTGCAGAGGATGTCAGAGGCAGTTTCCTCCTTCTGCAGAGCACCCCAGCTCTGCCTGGACTCTTGAGGCAGCCTGGAGGAGAAGCACTTCTCTGTCTTACAGCCTGGTAGTGGCACTGCTATTTGGACAGCCAGATATGGCAGAAATGGAGTCTGCAGTGCCTCTGTGAAAGCCTGGCCCTGACATGTCTCCAGCAGATTTTAAGAGATCAGTTCGAAGAGCTCTGGGATCTTGTTTTCTTGCATTTTGTTGTTAGTGGGGATCATCATCCAGAGTTATCTACAAATTAGCTAACTAAATATCAGAGTTATCTATAAATTCTCTGCATAGACATCTTCCTGATCTTTTACTTTTGTTCTTGAAATTAAATTGCTTTTTAATTGATTTTAAGAAAGAAAAGATAAATGGTAAAACTCCCCGTGATCTCAAATTTTTTGGTTATTACTGGCTAAGTGCATGCCATACTTTCAAATACTATCCCTCCTGGTGAATTTTAAAAGGAATGTATGTGTGCTTTTAAGACACACAGGGCAGTTGTATTTTCTTTCCTTCCTTCCTTGCTTCCTTG